GGTGCATCATTTAGGATGAGAAGATTAGAGGCAAGCATTCTAGGAAGAGAAGCAGGAAGGAGAGGGTGGGTAAAATATGAAATCACTGGACTCAGCAAGGTGCCTTCGCTCACTACAGGGGCATGGTGAAAGGGAAAGGGAAGGGTGAAGCCTATTCTACAGTTCTGATCAAGGTCAGCTCCACTTTTTCAAGTAGCACAGAAAGATAAGATTATGAAGAAAGAAACGAGATCTTTTACTACAACTGACCTTTTCCAGTTAGACTTTATGATAATTTAAAACAAAAACAAACTTTCCTTGGCTTCCTAACTCAACCTGCTCTTCACTTAGGCTTAGTGGCTCTTCTTTCCTCCTACCACTGAGACCACATTGATTTCCAATTAAAAGCAGCTATGGAAGCTCAACATCAAGGGTGTCTTGTCTGAGCCAGATGTGGTGGCTCACATGGGTAATCCCAGCACTCTGGGAGGCTGAGGCAGTATCATCACAAGTTTGAGCCCAGGCTGAGCAACTTAAGAGACTTAGAGAGATACTGTCTCAAAGAAACAAACAAACAAACAACACCTTAAAACACACACACACACACACACACACACACACACACACACACCCCAAAGGAAAAGAAGAATATAGATGTCATTGAATCCAGGAAGAAACTGGAACCAGGGAACTTCTGTGGGCCTAGGACTGGCTCCTTCCCCATCAGTATCCCAGGGATGGCCAGGCATGGGGGCCGTGCAAGACATGGTAGCTCTGGTGTGTACCACAGGACTCAAGCTGGGCTAGAAGGAAGGACACTCGGAAGGAAAGGCAAGCTGTTTTCTTCTGAGAAGAAAGGAAAGAGGATTTGGCAGGCAAAATATCTGGTTTCCTCTAAGATGGAGTTACTAATTTGCCAACTGATCTTCCCTTTTTCTTTTTCTGTTTTGGTTTTGTTTAGTATATCTGGCATTGTTAACATTTCCTGTTTTTATGTCTAGCTCCTGAGCTCAAATTAGATCCTTCCTTTTGGTTCCCCTGCCTTCCATCACCCTTAGCAGTATCTTGCGTGTAACAGGAGCTTAACAGACATTTCTTATTGGCTGAGAGAATGTAATTCGAGTGATCTGGTGGACTTGGGTCTCTTAACATTGTCTCAAAGCCAGACACTCTCTTATCGTCACCCTCTCCTGCCCCTCCACATGAAACTTCAACTCCACCTAGCCAAGGCTTCTGAACAAGGCTTTTACACACAACCACTTCTGATATTTGCCCATTCCTTTTCCTACCCTTGATTCCCTTGGGACGGTGACTTCCCCTCGTCCAGCTGGCCCCCAATTTACCTCTATGCTTTGCTAGGTTACAGGGAGGTCTCATTTCTGCTAGAAACTTTTCTTCCATCACTACATTGCACTCTGGCTTTGCTTTTTAAAATTGAGTTACATACCCAGCTTTTTTTATTTTTTGATTTTTGAGACAGGCTCTCACTAAATTGCTAAGTTGCCCAGACTGGGCTCAAACTCCCGATCTTCCTGCTTCAGACTTCCAGAGTACTGGGATTATAGGCATGTGTTGCCAGGCCCAGTTTGGCTTTTTCTAGATTTGTATCAGCATCTGTGTATTCCATCTATTGGTGAGTAAATATGCTCTGTTACATTGTCCTTGTATAGTTTTACAGTGTTACATTGGTAAGAATTCAAAAATTTATTTGAATTTAAATTTCCTTCTGGAACTAAATTGCAAACTCTTTGAAGAACATAACATACTGTAGCCTCCATAGCAAATAGCTTGAATGATAGATCTTTTCTGCTGGGTTGAGTTCATTCTTGTTTTAAATTTTGAGACAGTTATTTCGTATGTAATTAAGAATCACCAAACATTCACATTAATACAATACAGGGATTTCTTTCTTTTTTTTTTTTTTTTGATACCAGGGATCGAACTCGGGTCCTTGCACTTTCAAGGCAGGCGGTGGAACCACTGAGCTAAATCCCTGGCTCCAGGGGTTTCTTAAATGGTATGTTTTCCTTTCATTTTTAGATTAAAATCTGCCAGATGATTAGGTGAAATATGCCAGGCTTTTCTTCTTCCTTTTCTTCTTTTTTTTTGGTTCTATCTTAGAGATAATGAAACCTATTGCAGAGAGAGAATCCAGAGTCAGGCTGTTTATTGACAGTGCAGTGAAGCAACTTCCCTAGAAACATAAGTGAGCACTAATTGGAGGGCTGTTCTTACACCCCTGGGTAGCTGTGGATAGTGAGCGTAGTCATCTGAAAGTGATATGTACAAAAAGCCCGGATGTGTGAGCGATGAGAAAAAACAGGACTGGGGAAGATGGAGGACTATGGCTATTTCTGACAGGCAGCCGTGTGGTAAGATCACTCTAAACAGGATGGAAAGAAATATTGGAAAACAAATTCACCTGTTTTCTTATTCTCAGCTGCACATCACATATGCTTCTAGATTCTGCCCCACATCTTGTGCCTTCTAGAATCTTCCTGCTACCCTTATTGACTTTTTTATAATTATGACTGTTCCCTATTTGCAAATTAAATGATGCAGAGAATAGAGGCTGTTTATCTTGTGGCTTGCGAAATTATGAAAATACTCTGCCTGCAGTTTAAGTAAGCATGTTTTAGAGACATAGACAGGAGTCTCAGTCCTCTTAAAAACTGTTTGCACTAATTGCTAAATATATATATATATATATGGAATTTGATATTTGAAGAATTTATAGGCTGATAAAAAGTATAAAAAGAAATGGCTCTGAGCTGTATCTTATTCAGGCCTCCTATCTTATAAATTGAAAATAAATCTAAAGTTCACATAGCCAAAGAGCAAAAACAAAAACAAAACTAAACACACATATACAAAACAATAAAACAAAACCAAGACGTTCAAGTTTAACACTTCTTCCCACAATTTTATAAGTATACGTTTTCAGTTTTGAAATTTAATTTAAAAATTTAAAATTTGTGTTCCAAATCTAAAATTGTCGCCCAGATACACGTCTGGTTTGGCCTCTGCTTTAGTGCACCAGGCTTGTTAGACAAAACACAGACTAATCAAAGCATCCTCAGTCTTCAGGGCGATCATTTCTCTAGGCTCCACGGGGCCTGTGGCCGGTGGAGTGTTAATGAACCAGCCGGGCAGATCAGAGGACATATGGCCAAACCGTCTTCGCTTTGGCCTGCTCTCTCATTCAAACCAGCCTATTGACTTAGTTTTATAAAGCATACCTCTATATTTTCCTTTTTGATATATTGACATGATTTAGTGTTAGAAAAATGTTGTATATATTTATTCTTCTCAAAGTCCCAGGGAGGGGACAAGAAGACTATTAATTGTTTATAGTATAGTGTTGATAGCACATTTTTTTCTTTTTCTAACTAACAGTCATTGCTTTCTGATCAACAATCAAGTTCTTTGCATACATTATCACAGCTATTTCAGGGAGTGAGGTGTCAGTTACTATATTTATTTGACTGATGCTAAAAACTGAGGCCCAGAGAGGTTGACCCGCTTGTAAGAAGCGGAGAGCTAAGATCTGAATTCAGGCGGTCGGGCTGCACGGAACCTGCTGTCTGGCTAGACTGGCTGCTGAGGGAAGCTCTGAGGGGCTCAGGGGAGCATCCTTCCATTCAGATCTGGTTGTACACCCAGGAACACGCAGCGTATATCAAAAGTGCTCAAGAGGATACCCTGTCCTCTTTTGAATGACCTGGGCAGAGCACAGTACAGTGAGGAACATAGATAGTTGTCCCCTTGAGGGATAGAATAGGGATAGAATTGGGGATCTGTGGCTTTCTTTGGCAGGTCTGCCCTGGAATTCGAATGCTCTCTTAGTCACTCTGGAGACTCAGTGCAGTTTTCCTTTCTCTTTGGTATTCAGATCAAGATAGGAACCATAGGTGACCCTTGTAAATAGTAACAGTGGGTGGTCATTTAAAAAATGGTTTCCTGACTGCCAGATGAATGGATGTGGAGAGTCCCTGCATTTTTCTAGGCTACTCCAATGTTCTGTCTCATGTTTTCCCTCATAATCCCCAAAGGCCAATATTTTGGCCTTCAAACTCTTCCCTTACAGATGGCCTAAGGGCAGTGCATGGCAATCCTCTGCAAGATTCAGGTCTGATTTGTGGTTGGGAAAATACAGACTTAGGGTAGAGACATTGCCATCACCCATTCTTCTTAAGACTGAAATAAATCTTCAAGCTGAATTATAAGAACGTCTATTGCACTGTAATTTCAGATCCAGAAACCTCTGGCTGCTCAGTTCCTCTGTAATCATGGTACATGGCAAGCAGGTTACAGATAATTAGCATAGCTCCCTAAGGAATGGGTGCTTTACGTAAGGGCAATAAGACCTCAAAACAGAACCAAGTCTCGATGGTTCCATTTTCTCTCTCATGTTAATAATAAACAAGGCCCAGCATTCATTTCAAAAAGTGCTCCCAGAATCTAACTTCCCGTACTTAATAAAGCAACCAAGTTCTTCCTCGAAGCCAGTGTTGTGTTTACACTGTTTTCATTAGGTTGTTTCAGGGTAGTGAGGACACCTGTGCCTTTTAGCTGAGCCAGCCAATATGGCTGCTTCCACTGGGCTTGAAAAAATACAAGTGCATAAGGCAGTGGGCTTTGAAGGCAGTGCCCACACTACAAGTCAGGGACCAACAGGGCCCATGGGTGGGAGCCTCAGTGCAGTAGCTGGGACCCTTGGTCTTTCCCTTCAAAGTTCAAGTGGAGGTTGATGAGAAAGCAGGGGGAATATGTGCCTAGTAGCCATACCTGAAACATAGTGTTTACTGGCTTCCAGGCACTTTTCGTTAGCCCTTTGAACGTTTGCCTCTTTTAATCCTCATAATTTCCCTATGGAGTACACACTGTTAGTATCCCAATGTATACATGGGAAAATTGAGGCACAGTGAGGTTCAGTGACTTTCCCTAGGTGACAGAGCTGGGAAATGGCAAGACTGAGATTTGAACTTGGTTGGTCAAAGAGAGAGATGGAATAGAGGACCCTCCTTTGTTCCTTGTGTCCTGCAGAACTCTCCTATGCCCTACTCATTGGACTGTGCACCCCTTCCATGTCATTTCATGGAGCAGAGTGTCCTACACCAGGAAGATGAAGGCCCAGGGACATCCCTTCCCCATCACTCTGTGGCATGATTTCTAATGGGACCCTCCCACCTCCAGGACTGGAGTGCTGCAGAAGTCCCTTCTTGTGGCTGCTTCCAGGCCAGGCCACATCTCAGGCTGCAACCAGGATATCTCTGAAAACAGAGGACATGCACAGGGAGGTAGGTGGCTAGCACAGTACCAGTCCCTCCTGGAAGAGCTCTGTCCATTTTCCTATTTCATTGACTCAGTGTGGGAGGAAAGCAGAGTCTTGGGCAATTCTTCATTGCCTTTGAACATTGGGTCCTATTCTAGAGAGCAGAGAGTTTGGATATTTATTCTGGGGTATGTTTCAAACAAACTCTGAAAGGTCAGTTTGTCTGTAGAATGGAAGCCTTGCTCTCCTCTCTTTTTCTGTGTGTGTGTGTGTGTGTGTGTGTGTGTGTGTGTGTGTGTAGAATGGTACTAATCAGCAGCAAAAGAAACAGCATCAAGTGCCTCACTGAGAATATTTTCATAATATTTGAAGTTGAGTCTGTTTGTTTCCTGGGTAGAAAGAATACTTGATGTGGGATGCTCAAAAACAGAGTGAATGTCCTGCTCTGAATTTGTGATCATCTTTTCTTTGTCACTGGCGCCTTTGAAGAAAGCACAACATGTTGAATTTCTCCAAGAATGTTCTGAGGCAGTGTTCCTGTCCCGGGGGACAGGACTTGGGAGGATGGAGGGGGCCCCTTTTGCAGATCTATTCCTTCAGCTGAAGAATAAACCACAGGACCACAGGGTTTTCTGTAGGCCTAGGTGAATGATATGATTGTGCAAAATGTACATTTTAATGGGAGACAAGATAGCAACTGTGCTTCCTCAGTGCTATGAAACTGCAATGCTCTGTAGCCACCCTTCCTCCCTCCATCAGAGCAGAGTCAAATGCAAACTGCAGATTCAGGCAAAGCCAAAGCCAAAATCAATCCTTAGAGTCCCTTTACCATGGGCATTATGACCCCAGGGTCCTGCTAATAAACACATGTTCATACCTCTCTTTGCATATGTAAGTTTGGATGTGTGCATATTTTTTCATGCACATCTGACATCATAAATATCTAGAACTAGCTTCCATGTTTATGCAAATAGTACCAAGAGAGGTGACAGACGTTTTCCTTTACAAATGGATTGTGACACGAAAAACTACTTAATAAAAATAATGAAAGAACTGAGAATAATGTTTTCAATTTCCTGGGAAGAAAGTCATTTTCCAAGACTAAATTGTCTGTTACTACCTTACTGGCTGGTCTCTCTCTCTCTCTCTCTCTCTCTCTCTCTCTCTCTCTCAGGTTAAGATTCTTGGAGAACTCTTGAATTAGTTTCTGTGTTTTTGGGTGCTTTAAAATGTATATGGCTGACACTTCTTTTTATTGCTAGAATTTGGTAAAAACTAATAGATTAATGTTTCCCTCCCCCTCTTCCTGTTTTTGGGCTTCATCCCTTGTGAATCTTCTTTGTTCTTCCCACCTTGGCCTCAGAGACAAGAACACTTACTGCTTTGTTTTATGGCTGCCCTGAAAATAGACATCAGCCCCTGGATGGTGTAGTATACAGAATTTTAACGAGCACAAAGCAAGCAGCTCACTTCTTACTGTGGTATGAGAGGGGTGACGTCAACCTATCCATGAAATACTGAATTGATTTTGAAACAGCTTTAAAGGTGAGTAAATCGGTGTGACTGTGTATTAGCATGAGACTACCCACACCCATGCACACCCCTTGTCTCAATGCTAGAATTATTAGAAACCACCCAGATAGATGCCCTTTAAAAGATAAGTCAAGGTATGTTGATTGTTTTTAAAGCCTAAATTTTGTAACTTGCCATTATTCTAGAGATTAAATTTTCAGATGTGTTTAGCTTCCAATTTGAGTATTTTCTTTCTAAATTTAGGGTTTGACTTATTTATTAAAATAGGGAATTGCTATTTTGCATTACCTCTTCTGCTCTTCTCTCTTCCCTTCTCCCTCCTACCCATTTCTTGAAGCACAGTTTGATGCTTCAGCATAAAGGCCACTGTATAATGTTTTCTTTCTTTCTCAACTGCTCTACCAAACAGAAACTTTTAGCACCCAGTGTGGGAAAAGCTGGAACTGTGAGCTATTTGCAAGAGGCAATATTCAGGGAGACATTATCTAATATCAAAGTCAGATAAACTCTCTCCACACCAAAAACCAAACAAAAAATGAAAACCCCAACCTCAACGAATTACCAACCCCCACCTTACAACTCTCTAGAATATGGTATTTTTTAGACTGCTACCATTATAAACATTTCCTTTCCCTTTTGAAACCTTCTTTAGAACTTGCTGGTTTAGCTAGTGATTAATGAGTTAATTAATTAGCAAAGATTTTTAAAGCTCTTTGAAGAATAAATATACTACTTATTGCAAGGCTGTGTTATGTAACATTAAGAATACTTAATTCTCCAAGCTTCTTAAAAAAAACAAGAAACAAAGAAAAAAATAAAACACTAAACCCTTATAAATTCAACTGCAATGACATTAGGCATTGTTAGCCTTCTTATTAACCTACCTTTGTAACTTAAGGCTTTTATTCTTTTGCTTTTCAGTTGATTCTGTGAACAATTTTCTGCTGGAGACAATGGCCAATAAATATTCTCTAATAATGACCATTACCATAAACATTCACTAGACCACTCTCCTCTCACTCAAACCCAAACATTTAATAATTTGTTAAGCTCCATGATGTATACAAGGAAATCTGTATCTTACAATTTGGCCTTGAGGAGCTTACAGTACACATAAGCCAGTAATTCATAATACAAAGTAGAATCTTTGGATATGTGCCCTATGAGTGTCGCAGAATAATCAGTGTCTTGAAAATGAAGAGAAAAATCTCAGTGTGAGCTGTTATGGTTCTCAAAGGAGTGTAACAAGGAAGGTTGAATTTCAAGCTAGTCTTCAAAGGATTTCAGGTCTTTGTTGAGGTGGGGTGGAGTTCATTCTAGGTTGAAGGAAAGCAGCTACACACAGAAGTGGATATACCTGTTATATGTTTCAGAATTTGCACGTAGACAGGCCTATCTTGAATGCTAGGTTCACTCAAGGTTAGGATAAGTTTGGAAAGAACACCAAGATAAAGAACACCTCAAAATATCAGGCTGAGGAAAATTGTGTTTAACTTAGAAATAGGCTATTTCATAATAGCAAGAGGTTTCAAAAACAAGAAATCATTAAACCCTTTATTTTACTGCTCTGAAATGGTAGAAGAGAAATTTTGTTCAGTAAAATGATTGATCCACCCAGAGTAAAGGCATTATATCATGACAGAACAGAGGGGAAACAGGACTCGAACTGTATCTACTATGGGAACAATATGTGCTTGCTCCTTCCTCTTTTCCAATAATTGCAAGAGGGAAAAGAAAAACTTAAAGTCTGTTGAAATGCCTTCCACGTAGCAGTGTTCGATATGTACTGGATGGATATATGAATAAATAACCATTTGGTTGATGAACCCAATAAAATGAACAAGAGCCATCATGTAAAACCTGGAAGGAAATTGCCTTTATATAACTCACTTTCTGCTTCATTAAAGATTAACTCATTTTTATCTACATATGACAAGAGGCTGGACAAAGAAATACATCCTTCTCACTCTTTATTTGAAAGACAAATGAAGAACACCAAGAAAAAACAAACTAAAACAAACAGAAAACAAAACAAAACAATTCAAAACAAAAGCCCCACCATCCCACATGTTAACAAGCTAAAATAATGTGTTGTTGATTGGTTGTCCCTTGGGGGAAAAGTAGCTAAACAACCTCTTAAGGAAGGACATTTAAATGTTTTCCAGGTGGCTTTTACTCTGTCAGAACCCATTATGCCGAATGCAGATACAGATTTACAGGCTGCTAATACTCAGCTGATAAGAAACCATACCTGAATTATTTCTAAGTGTTCTGGGAGCTCAGAGGTAGCTAAAAGCATCTGCACTTCAATGTCACTCTCAATCTATTGCAGCGGTTACCTAAGTTGTCATTTATCCATAATCAGGGAACAGGACTTGAACCTGAATCAAGATTCTATTTTCTTGCACATAAAATTCAGACAAATAGAGAAGAGTTAAGTAAAACATAGCCAATATTAGCAGCGTAATGGTTTGCCTTTCACAGTCACAAGGTAATATAGTAATAATAAGTTTGGGCCAATTACTCAAGAGCCAAAATTGATTTCTAATCTTGACTAATTTTCTTTTTGATGGTTCCTGCAGATATGAGTATCCCTTCAGCAAGGATTTTATTATTGGCATCATTGCTAAAATGCTAGTTCATCTATTGTTGCCATTTGTAGGCTGCTTAGTAAACTCCAGAGATGTAGTTTATTTTTCAATATTAAATACCATCCATTTTTATTATGCAGATTCCTTCTGAGGTTTGGAATCCTTGAGTTTCCATTAAGGAACTGGATGCAGGTAAGCTAAGTAACTTTTTTAAATTTTCAGTTTCTCCATTTAATGTATAAAATAAAAGGTGGAACTAAATCATGTTTGAGGCTTATTCTATTATTATTTATGAACCTATGCTTTCAATATGGCTTTCATGCAAACTGGCATTGAGCCCTATAAGCTTAAACCTGACAGAAGAAGTGAGTTTGTTTCAAAGCCATAGAGCCCAGTGGGCTTTACCTGGCAAAACCTATTCTCAGGTACACTAATGTGAATCCCTCTTTTCTAGCCATTTGTCGTATTTGGTTAGAGTAGTGGCTCCTAGGCTAGCACCTCCAACTTCTCTCCAGGACAGTTGTTTGAAATGCAAATCAGTCCTGGCCCCAGACTCACAAAATCAGAAACTGGGTTGGGGGCTGGGGGAGGGGGAATAAGGTAAGACTCCACCTTTTAACAAGTCCTCTAGCTGATGTTAATACACATTTAAGAGCACTGTTTATGAGGTTGACATTAAAGGTTCAACTCTGAAATGGACACTGATTTAATTCTATGCCCTGACCCTGTCCTATAGTATTGAGGTAGTGTTAACAAACAAGGGGTCTTGTTCAGATTCTTGATGTCCTGAAGAAAGAAATGAGCAGGACACCCCAAAAGGAGCAGAAAGATCAAAGACTTATTGAAAGTAAAAGTACACACCACAGGGTGGGAGTGAACCAGTGAAAATAGTTTACGGTCCAAGGAGGCTTGGCACCTAGGGTTTTAAGCATTAGGCTTTGGGGTGGAATTAAGGGGATGGTAAGAGGTTTTGCTCTTGCCAGTGAGTACATTGACTTTCCCTTTTTGTTGAGTGGTGAAGCTTTTTTACCTTTTATGAACCTTGGAGGAACTGACATGGGATCCAAAGCCCATGGAGGTGAGAGGGTAGGAGAGAGTTGGGGGAGTGTCAGAATAGCATAGTTAATGCCATAGTACTCAGGGCCAGGGTCTGCCAGGGGTTGCTGATGGTCATTGTGCTCATGTGTATGAGCCATGTTGCCCAGTTACTTTCTTCTTTTGTATTTGTACCAGGATATCCTGGACCTGAGTTGAAATTTAACTCAGGAGGTATATCTAACACAGAAAGCCAGTTGCCATGGCAGGCCTTCCTTTCTCTCTCCAGCTATTTCCTGCCTCAGTAGGATAGAACAAATAAAGATAGGTAGAAAGGAGACAAAGAAAATCATAATTTAAAAATGTACTTTTAAGAAAACTGCAACTTCAGAACATAATCAATGTTACCTAAGGTTATCCATATTTGTACTCCATATCTTTATTCCCTAGGCTTGGTCCTGTTCCCTAGCTGGCTTTTCCTTTTTTTTTTTTTCTCCTTCCAGGCCCATCACAACCAAACCCCTTAAATATATAGTGGTACCTCAGTTCACCGATGCGTTTGTGTGCAAACAGTTTGGTTTTTGTGAACAACAGAAGCATTTAGCAAAATTTTGCTTTTGTTTTCTAACTCTGCATCAGATGACAAACATGACTACGGCCATATTTCCCACATGACCATGAACGTGGCCATCTTTTTCAGACTTGTAGAATGAATTAAGTTCATGAACCGTGGCACCTCTGTACTATTAACCCATAAGTTAACCTAGTTAATAAGGTAAAGGACAGCAACCTATGCTTAAGATGAAGAAACAGACTCAAAGGTTTCAAAGATTGTTTTTATTTTTGGACAATCTTTGATCATCCATCTTCAAGGATAACTTTAAGAACACATGTATTCTCAACTCCATACCATAGTGTACCTCTCTCTTGTGTGCCTATACTCTATTTTCACTATGTACTTCTTTAACTCTGCCTAGTAAAGTCTATCTATGTTTTTCACTGATGTGTCCAGAATTTTTTTTTTCTTTGACCAGAGTCAAGAACCTAGTTGGTATGCTGAGTTGAGATTCCCATCTCTTCTTTGGGAGGACTCCTTGGATCCTATCTGGTGACCGTATTATACGAACGTCTTTCATTATTCATGAAAGGAATGGGGTACAATTTTTTGGCCAGATCAGCTCTATTACAAGTTGCAGATCTTGAACCATTCATTTGTAATTAAAGTGCTTTTCAATAAGCCGTTAGGGCCTCTATTGTTCATGTGCTGAACTCCATAGAAGTGAAATCTTGTCCTTTAAGTCCCCGCCACATCAGCCTATCTTAGTCACCGCTGTTTCCTTAGTGCATATTTCATGCATCCCTTTTTCTACTCATCTCCACATTTCAGCTCATGCTGTTTTATCTCTTGTCTGGGATAAATTTTGGATCTTTGTCCCTAACAATCCAAATCTGTCATGATTTGTAGATAACTACCATCTCCAAGAAACGGTTCTTAGGTCTCATCCCATGGATACTGCCTCAGAATACCCTTAAACTGTGTCACAGAAGCAACGTTTCTCAGATAGTACAACCCACTCACCTGGAAGAGGTTTTGAAAAATACATATTCCCTTTCTTCCACTCAGCCAACTAACTGAATCAAAATCCCCTGGGTGCAGGGTTTGTGCCTTTAACCAGGTTTTCAGGAGATCCATGTTCTGCTAGATGAGGCATTTGAAGAACAATGGGGTAGCACAGAGGTTGTCAAGTTTTGTTTTTTTTTAAGGAACCACAAGGTTAATATTTTGGGCTGATGGGCTATGTGTTCTCTCTCACAACTGCTGAATGAAGCTTCAACCTCATATGTGCTGTTATATTACAAAAGTCTCCATAGACAATATGTACACAAACAACTGTGGCTGTGATCCAGTAAAATTTTATTTATGACAGGGGCTGGGGGCTGTGGTTTGCTAAACACTAAGGTAGATAATTAATTTGAAAAAAATAAACTACAGCATCAAAAATGTTGCTCTGCACTCAGTAAGTGCTTCTAGAACGAACTAGCAAATAAAGAACCCCCTGTAATGTATGTGCTGGAGAATTACAAATTCAAAATAGACAATTATCACACAGTAAAATTACTAGATGATCTTAAATAAAATTGCACTTACATATGGAAACTTTTGGTGGCCTAGGGAGAGGGATAATGGAAAGCATGGAATACACATCTGAATTCTAATTTAGACTGCTCTTTTCTTGATTTTCCATCTATAAATTATACCACATCTACAAAATATACTTAGTTGACTTCCCAACAAAGGGTTGGTTGAGCAGTAATTTGTTTAATGCTTTTAAAAATGCTGCATAGATGCTAAGTATTATTGCAGAAAGAGGTTTCTGAAGAAGACCCAAGAGCAAACAGCACTGAAATGGTGCTGTTTGATGCCAGAGCAAAAACTTTAGTTAAGTGTCCCTCAAGTCAGATGTCTCTCTGCTCTTCTATTTTTCTCAGGAAAACCTCAAATACATTATATGGGTGATATTGGAGGACGTCGGGATCAAAGCACATTTAAAATTGCTAAGCGGAAGCAGATGTTCTCCTGAGCTAGGCAAAAGATTCTCAGAGTTTCCAGTGAAATATAAACTTCTTAAAGACCCATGGGATCATGCCTTAAAATGTCAAGCTTTTGTATGGCTCCCAAAAGCAAAACAGTGGTGAGATGTGTGGTTCTGAGAGAGATGTAGAAAAGTTAATGAGCTAGAAATAATAAGGAACTCTATATTTGGAAAAAAATTGGAAAGGATGTTATCCTTACAAAAAAAAAAAAGCGCAGAACAAGATTAGAATAGTCATTTCCCTCAATTCTCTTTTATATATATCTTTAAAGATCTACCTCTGCATTACCCTGGTTGACTGGATAACCAGTTAATTTTCCTCAAAATTTTCTGCTCTCATTTTTTTCTCTTTTTTTTCCAAGTAGAAGTTTTTTCTTTACTCTCCTGTAAATTGTAATTTTTTCACTATGGTTGCTAGCCAACAAGAACATCTCAAGGAAAGAAGGGTTGGTGGCTTTTAAACTTAAACTAAAATGAAAGTATGAAACTAGCACTTTGAAGAGTGATCTAAATAGGGATAATTATATTTTCAGCCAGAAAAAATGTTCAAAGACTTAACTATATCCCTCCTGGTTACAGTGGCATCAAGTAGTTGATCCTGTTAAGAAATGCTAAACAAATGTAATCTTTCAGGTATTTTGTTTGCTTAAACAAAAGTTGAGGGTAATGCAAATCCAGGGAGATCATAGCCTTAAAATGAAAAGAGAAGCTGGGAAACAATTAGAATAATCACAGTTTCTGAATTATTATAGAATGATTCATCTGTTGAGGCCACAGGTAAGGTAAACTATTTTTTTTCTGTTTACTTATTCTGGATAAATCGATGAGATATTAGTTGGTCAAATATGAAGTACAACTATAATGACTATGACAATTTAAATACACAATCAAAGAACTTTGTTTCCCATATATGTTAGGGAGATTTACTAATTTAAGAATAGTTCTTGATGCCACCTTTGAGAACTAAGGTAAATATGTGTAGGCTTAGAAATTATACAGACCTTCTTTGAAAAATCATTTAATTACATTTATGGGAGAGCTTGTGAGCTGGCTGGTTTGAATTTTGCGAGGGAGGTACATGCCAATTATTTGTGTGTGTGTGTGTGTGTGTGTGTGTTTGTGTGTGTGTATGGTGTTGGCAATTGATCCGAGGCCTTTCACACTGAGCTACATTCCCAGCCTTTTCAATTTTTTTTTAAAGTTTGAGGTAGGGTCTCAACTGTCACTGAGTTGCCCAGGTGTGATTCCCCTGCACTGGCCTACCAGAGTGCTGGGATTATAGGAGTGTGCCACCTTGCCTGTCTTCTACATCTGCTTTATCTAAGTAGTACAACGATTTATTAGACCAGAAGCAGCAGCTCCTCTCAGGAAACAACTCTTAATCACATCCCCATGTCATGGCGTGGCACAGAGACAGAACAGAGTAACGATTTAGTTTTTTGGTATGGATGAATGCCTGCCTGTTAGATATTAAGGCATAGGGCAGATTAGTAGTTCATATTTGAAGTAGTAGTTAGTTACTGGCTTGTCTTTCCATCCCATCTCAGGGAATTGGGTGAATTATCCTATCTTATCCAGAAGAGTGGTATAGTGCCATGGAACGTTAGAACTGGAAAGCACACTCACTATTCCATTTTCATAGAATTTGAGATTTGAAAAAGAGAACTTTTTATTATTAGTGTTTTAAATAAATGCTTATCTAGAGCTTTTCAGTTTAAAAAATTATTTCATTATTTTTCTTTGATGTCTACAACAACCCTGTAATCTGCATACTGTTAACATAATATATCTATTTTTTAGATGAAACATTGGAGTCCCGGAAGATGAAGTGAAACATCATCCTTGCTTTTTTTCTCCCATCATCTCATCACGGGATTCACTTGAGACTAATTCTTAAAATATCATTTGAATCTTCTCATGTTTTGATAGCCCCACCTCTCCTGTCACAGGCCAAGCCATCTGACATTTTTCTGCTGATCACAGCAAGTTTATTGTTCACCCACTTCCTACCAGGCTTCCTATCCAGCCTAGCTCCAAAAATTCTAAAAGCAATGATATGGCCACATTACTGCCAAGTTTAAGCCTTCCCATAATCCTCAGTGTGCATGTCAGCAGTGGGGGCATAAAAAGCTCCTTTAAATCAATCTGTACCCATGGGTTTAACTTTAGTTGCTTATATTCTATTTTCAGTCTCCTCCTCCACATTAATGTACTGTTTTCTATTTTATGATTCCCTCAATGGCATTGGACACAGAAATGGAAATGTGGCAGGAAATAGAAAATCTGTTTCTTCAGATTGGGTTCTCTTGAATCTCTGTTATGTATCATAGGACAAAATAATTTATAGATACTCAACAAATTTTGGTAAATGAATGGACTATTGAAAGGTGGGTCCGTTTATTTTCATTTCTGGCCACAGTTACAATATCTCCACTGAGCCATAGTTTACTTTCTCCAGAATTGTTGATATATAATGATTGAAATGAAGGTTTCACTTAAGGTTACTTTTTCTCAGTCCCATTGTAGTAACTTTCAATCAGTTTAAAGTTTTTAGATATTGGCTGATCATCTCTTACAGATTTTGTTATGGTTCTTAAAAGAAATAGAACCTATCAGTTGTAATGGGAAACAAACAATATATATAATTTATATTTAATCTAGAAAGAATTATTATAAGGTTATAAGATATCAGCTCATGTGACTATGAAGGCTGTGAATCAACAATCAGTAAGTCTCTAAATTTGTAAGCTTGAGACACACAAAAACTGGTGGTGTAGCTGAAAGGCCTAAAACCTATTGGTATATACACTAGTCAAGGTCTCAAAGCCTGAGGATCCAGAGTGGCAAATCAGCACAGTCAAGCAGAGTCAATACAAAACTTTTTGTGCTACTCAGCCCTTCAGCTTATTGTAGGATACCCCCCACCTCACTGGGGAGGGAAATCTGCTTTCTCATTCCACCAATTCCAATACTAATCTCTTCTAGGAAAACTCTCATAGACACACTCAGAAATAATGTTTAACCAGCTGTCTCGTTGGCACATAATTATTAATCATCTCAGAGATAATATATGTAACCCCCAACTTGACTTTTTAGGACACTTAATGAATAAATTGTTAGTTTATGAAATTGGTATAAGTTGTGAAACTTGCATGAATAAATGGTAGAAGACTTTTTTCTGAGTTTGACAGGTTTTACTTTTCTTTTAAGCTTTGCTTGTTATATCCAGATATAAAACACTTTAATAATTCCTGTTGTTATATTACAAAGGAGGATTCCATTTCATTCATTATTTGAGGTGTGAAAAGAAGGATAACTTTTTCATTAGTTTTCCATCTGGTAGTATTAACATGGACATTTACTTTTAGCAGTAATCACTGGGTTCTATTTTTTGGTGAGCATATTAATAGAGTGTTAATATTTTTCTCCTTTAATCTTTTCAGGAGAGAAGTTTATCCATTTCTTAATTGACGTCCAATATGCTTGAAAATTAGGAGTAATAAACACATGCAAATTAATGTCTGTTCATCTTGGACAGGAAAATCCTTTGGGTTGAAAAAAATTTTGGTTTAAGCTTTTCCAGTATCATTTATTCCCTTTTTTGCACTAATTTTTTTTTTTTTAGGAAAAGCATGAAAAATTTATATTTGCAAATTATAAGTGAAAAGTGTTTCTGCATTGGTGGTCTTATACCTTTGATTTCTATTTTATTTATCATTTGGTTGGCATTGATATACTTTCAGAAGGACTTTTATTTTTACTTCCAAAATGTTGGCCAGCTATGCTAGGCTTACTTATACATCTTTTGATGACACTGTCAAATTAGTGGATATTGGAATGGCAGGGAAGAAGGATTAATTGGAGAGCATTTCCATCCAGTTGAGTTTAATATAGGGCATTGTTTCAGTTCTGCCCATCAGCCTGGATGCTCTTGGTTTTGTAGGATTCTCTTCAGCTGGAATGGTGTTATGAAGTGTAAATGGTGGTGAATCTGGGTGCAGATGATATGCCTTAGGATATGAGCCTGTATTATTGTAACAGTGTCAAGAAATGTAGCTCAGTTGTCTTGAGGAGTAACTGCACAGGTTATTACTAGTTCTACTTGTGCCACACTAGTTCTCAACTAACCTTGTAAAGAAATATTGTATTATACCCATCTCCTCTGCCATTGGCCTCATCCCAGATCATGGATTCAGAAAAGAATAAGGAAATGGGGAAATGACCTAACTGTGCCTTAGAACATTGATCTTTCTTGTTGCCTGCTTGCTGTACAGCTTCTAATCTGCTTACCACCTGTGCCAAACTCAGAATGGCTGCACAACTCATGAGTTGTAGTGCTTCCCACAAGACCCTCTTCCACATCGTGTTTGGCTGTTTGGCCCATGCTGCCTGTATAAGTTGGCATTTCTGGAAACTAATTTATGCCATATTTGAAACCAAGTAAGAACCATACTATATTCTACAGTCTTTACTGGAGTCCTATGCTAATATATCCCAAAGAATGACTGCTGCTACCTGAGTTTCTGTATTGGTTAGGGTTCTATAGAGGAACAGAATATATATATACATATTTATATATATATATTTCTATCTATCTATCTATCTATCTATCTATCTATCTATCTATCTATCTGTGGGGATTTACTAGGTTGATTTACAGGATCAGAGCTGGAAGAATTCACAATGGCTATCTGCATGCTGGAGAGCCAGAGAATCCAGTAGCTGTCAGTCCAAGAAACTGGAAGCTGCAGAACAAGAAGGATAGAGGATGCAGTGTGGTCTGAGACCGAAGGCCTGGAAGTTGCTAGTATGAGTCTGCACTGAAAGGCTGAAGAAAGTGGAGTCTGACATCCACATATGATGGCAGTAGCAAAAGATGCACCTGCTCAAACAGAAGGGAACTTTTCAAATGTGGGCCAATTTTTCCCTCTTTCCCTTTTACTAAATTCAGGCTCTAAGCCTATTGGGTGGTGCCACCCACAATTAGAGTGGGTCTCCCCCCCTTAGTTTGCTGGCCTACATGTAAATTATCTCTTGAAACATTCCACAGACACAGTCAGAAGTGTGCTTTCCTAATTGTCTGGATATTTCTTAATCTAGTCAAGTTGACTGATCATGACTGATGGCCAGTCTCTCACCACTGGCCTTTCAACTAGTCCAATACTCAAATTGAAGCCCTACCCCAGCCGGATCACCTCTTCCCAGCAGTCTGCAGAACTTGTTGCTGCAATTGGGTATAGTCTAGCACCTCCTCTGTCTGAATAGATGGCTGTCAGCTCTTCCTTGCTTTATATTCCTAAGTTTCCATTACAATCCCGTTCTAGCTAAATTCCAAAGGTTCTAAAATCTTATTAGTGTGTTTGGTTTGTCCATTGATTTGTAGGTGACAAATATGTGTCAAATGGATTTGTCCCTAGAAGGCAGAAGATAATGTGTTCTAGAAGGATTGAAACCTTTGGGAGTTTTAGACAGGAATAAAGGTTTCAGCAGCCTGAAAAGGGGAGGCGGGGTGGATGGGGAAGAGGATGTAGAAAGAAATAAGATGTCTCATGTATATGTGCCAACTCCCCCAATGATGAATGTAATAATTATTCAGTGCAAACATGTACTAATCAAAATAAATATTAAAAAATAAAAATAACACTAAGAAAAAATGCTTTCAGTTGTCTGCAAACTTTCTAATACCACTTTTAATATACAAGATTCTCTCTCTCTCTCTCTCTCTCTCTCTCTCTCTCTCTCTCTGGTACTGGGGATTGAACTCAGGACCTTGCACTTGCCAGGCAGATGCAGTGCCACTGAGCTAAGACCCCTATACAAGGTTTTCTTACTCAAAAATGCTTGCTGACATCCAAAGCTTGGTTGTTATCATGTGTCAGAGCTCTAAAGACTCAATCTTAGCATCAAGAGTAGAATCATAGTCCAGATAGATAAATTAAACATGAGTCCCCTTCAGTGTGAGTAATAGATGGTTATAAATGGCAAAGGCTGCCTCAAAAGCCTCCATCTGCGTGGGTATAGAGGTGGTCTGAAAAGCAATGATTTGTCTTGTGTAAAACAGGCTCTGCTAATGACCATGGGAGAGAAGAGTGGCTAGGTGACTGAGGTGGATTCAGGAGTTGGGTAATTTAGATTCCTGAAAAAGATTTATGTCAATGTAGAACATACGTGATCTGGCAGTTTCAAGAGGGGGTTAAAGACTGGAGAATTCCTTTGATTCAGTTCATTCATGTTCATTGAAATGTACTCTAGGTTTCATTTTGCTCATCAGATTTTTTTGGCATACCAACAAATGGAATTAAAAAACCTTGTGAGTTTTCCAATTCAGATATTCTGAAAGTGAATTCTGAGAATCACTTGCATCTGTATCTACTCAGATGCTTGTAAGATGCAGATTTCTGTGCAGACCTACACCGAATGAGAAGATCAAGGGTGAGAACTGTGACTGTTGTTTTCTCATGTACTCTGAAATTTGAAAACAGTTTTGAAAACTATTTAGTTTTGTTCAACCACGGCTACCTTCTGAGAACCTTATAGATATAAACTAGGCTTATCTTCCATTTAGAACCAGAAGCCAACAATAATGTTTTAAAAACTTTTGGGGTGTGAAGAAATGTTTTTACTCTATGAATATACATTAAGCCTTCAAGAATTAGAAGAAAGGGAGAGCTGTGTGGAGAGTGTAGGAATCCTGGACACCACAAAGGTGAAGCCAAGAGTAAAGGGGAGAGTGTTAATGACCTTGTCCAAGCCCTGAATCAAGAATGGACCTGAACTCCATCCTATGTTGGACTTTTCAGCTATATAAGCCCCCCCAAAATCCCTTCTGCTACTTAATTACTGAAAGAGCCCTCAGCTTACTTCAACTCTTTGGAAATCTGCCACATGTGCAGGACACCTGAGCCCTGTTATTCTTCTTAGTTTCATGCCTTGCTCTCAAGTGCACCCCCCCCCACCCCCACACACACACTTCCCACCTCCAGCTTCCCCATTCCGGACTTCCAACTCAGGAAACCACTGCCCAAGGAGAGTCAGGGCCAGAGCCTCTCCTGCTCATGGTGCTCTCCTCCCGAACTCTACTGCCTAAGCCACTTCCTCCCAGATTATGAGGCTAGCATGAAGCCTGATAAAGAAATGAGTGGTGGCACACCCTACCGAGGTCCTGAGTCCCG